CTATTCCTTGTCCACAGTCAGCACCTTCTAGCTGTGTCCTCACTTGGTAGGAGGGGCTAGGGAACTCTGTGTGGTCCCTTTTTTAAGGCACAATGCCATTCATGAGGGCTCTACCATCATGACTTCAGAATTCCCAAAGTCCCCACATCCTGATACCATAATCTTTGGGGGCTAGAATTTTAACATATGAATTTTGAGGGTATACAAACATTCAGACCATAGCAGTGGTGATGTTAACAAATCGGAGTTTTTTGATTTTACATAATGTAATGTGCCATCATTTGGAAGATCTGCATAATTTGGAGATCTAATACTTTCCAAATGATTAATGTGGAACCACTCATGGGTAAAAAAAATGTATCAAAGTGAAGTTTCATGTAACAGTGTAGAAAGGCTCATTGATGTGGTTTCAGATTCCACATTGTGACTAATCTTTAAGGAGCTGTCACTTGCAGTTTCAGTGTAACATCCAAGGAATATTCATGATTATTTGAAAAGGCTACTTTTCTTAACTACTTATCTCTGAGAGGCTGGATAGTCTTCCTATACTTCAAACCCCCATAGTACCACAGATGGAAAGCAGAAAGAGATATGAGAATCCAGCTGTCTTCTATTAAGGCAGGCATCAAAGACATGTGCAAAAATACAAATCAATGTCATAAACTCTATTCATTAACTTTGTTTTGGAAAAATAGTTATTTTCATAAAAATATAATAGGTTTACTATTGTTAACTTTAAAGTAATCAATATAAATATTTCTAAAATTTCTCAGTTTTAATTTCTGATGTGCTATATATACCAATAGATATAGCCCACATAAACAAATTTCTTTGAGATCTTTATAATTTATGGGAGTGTAAAGAAGTCCCGAAAACAAAATGTTCAAGAACTTCTGCCTTAAGAACAGTTTGAAAATTTCTTCCTTTGAGCAGTTCTAGCCTCAAACAAAGATGGATAAACCCTGATGAATTCTTCCTAATCCCTTTCCCCTTTTATCAGCTAGACCCCCAAGTCCAACAATTGCCACTTGCCTCTGATTTATTTCACATAAATGTACATTCCCATCATGCTCTCCTAAGCAAAAGAGTTTAGTCACTTTGATTAGGTTTTGGGATTGGTTGGTGTCTGTGATTTGGTTTGGCAAAGAGCCAGGTCACTCACCCAGGTAACATGTATTCACAAGCCAGCTTCTAGAGAATAAGAGCTCAACTGAAGCATCAGCTGCTGGGTTCTGCCAACTTCAGAAGACAAGCTCATGCTTTGCACTTTTTGAACACCAACTATTCTACTCAATATGTTTCTGATGGTTGTATATAATTTTGTTATAAAGGGCCAAAGAAAAACTATAAAGTATTAGAAACAATCGGTCCAATAAAAGGGGGTTAATATATATTTAGCACTTGCTTTAAGCCAAATACTCTTATATATGTTACTCCATTTAATCCTTCCGGCAACACTATGAAATGGGCATTATTATTCTCATTTTACAGATAAGGAGAGCAGGGTTAGATAGCCGTTACATTGCAGAGGTGGGATTAAACCCAGGCCTCAAGGGCTCCAAAGACAGATTAAGAGTCAGAGGATCTGAGTTGTATCAGATGTCTTATGGTGGTGCTTTATGGATATGGGGATAAAGGCACTTCAAATGAGTCTTTAGAATTACCTCATACTGATGATTCTCAAAGTGTGGTCCCTGGGCCAGCAGCATCGACATGCCTGGGAACTTGTTAAAATGCAGATTCTCAGGCGCCAATCTAGGCTTGATGAATAAGTAGCTTTGGGGGAAGTCAGGAAGCCAATGCAAAGGACAGAGCATCTAAACAACTGCCACAGAGGCCAACCTAAACCCATGTTAAAATATCATAGAAATGAATCTGAAATATGGCGTCTGTTAACTCAGATCTACTCTTCTCTGGGGAAAGGAAATTGGTCTCCCATTTCATGCAGCTAATAAATTCCTTGTTATGAATTTGAACATGTGACAGGAAAATAATATTTGTGATTTATAGTGTTCTGCTGCCTTCTAAGAAAGACTGATCCTGGTAACCGGAAAAGCTTTTGCTTGTTAAGCACGAGCTCTTCACCATTTGTCTAACGGTATCTTATCTTCTACGCCTCCCTTGATGCCTGAAGGATCACCAGTACAGTACAGATCTCTGAAAAACCGTATTCATGGATCATCTTCAATCAGATTCCCTAGAAACAGAGATGGGGATTCCTGTGCAAATGATTTATTAAGGAAGCACTCTTGGGAGAAGAGAAGCAATGGAAGTAGGTCAAGCATCTGGGGAAGCTAACCAAGGACATGGTCTGAGATACTAGCTTCAGTCTGATCCCATGGGGAGCTCGGAAGCATGGATTTCACCACAGGGTTGGTCCTACCTGGAGGGAAGAGAGGCAAGTTTTTATACACCTCTGTATCAGTTACTCATTGACTGAGGACTGCCAGTAGTGGGATGAGGGTGAGAGGCCAACCTCCTGGGCTAAGTGGTTTCTGATGGCTGAGGGTAGCACTGCAGAAAAAGAGACAGCTGTGAGCCATTCGTAGCCAACTCTGACAGCAGCTGAGGGATGGCTGAGCCAGGTAATAGGCATCTGGATGAGGCACCAACAGCATCTACCGCATGAATGCTTTTTGGATCTCTGTTCATATCCCTGAATATGCGTATCCATCTCTGTAGAGGTGTGAACTCTCCTCTCTGTTGGCCTCACAGAATCAGAGCCCTGGGCCAGCCAGTCTCCTATTCCCCACTCAGCCTATGAGGTAAATCAAATCAAGTGGCTACATTTTAAGAGCCCAGATAGTTGGCAGAGGAGTGTTGAACACATGCATTATCCCTCCCTGTAGAATATCTTTCTATCCGAGGAACATTTTGTTGTTATTTCCTACTTCCTTCTTTTGTAAAATGAAGGGATGATCTGGATTATTTCTAAATCTCATTCCAGTTTAAAAATTCATTTTCCTAATGATTTTGCTCCAGAAGGCAGCTGTTGTGCTTGCATTGCCTCTGGGAATGAATTTCACAAAAACATTGATTAGAAACTAAGTCTAGTGTCATTGATATAAGTCGGGCACTATTCAAACTGTGAAAAGACTTAGTCCATATGAAGGAATTTGCTTCCATTTGCTCTGACCAAGATTTCTCTATCAATAATTGATATTAAATTTTCTGGACAATTATTGGGGATGAATTTCTTTAAAATATTAAAGAACTGCAGAGTTGATCCCAAATTCCTGCCTCAGTGATCTGTGTCATGTATTTGCCCCACAAAGATGGACAGATGCTATCATTTCCATTATGGAAATCTTAATGGAACTGTGGCAGGAACTGAGGCAGAACACCAAAAGCATCACTGAAGTGTCCCTCTGTGTCTCATTTAATCAAGTGCAAGGTGATATTGAAAAAAATTCCTGATATAAATAATTGATAGTAGGGCTACCCCTACCAGATACTGGCCCTTTGTGTGACTTAAAACAAAGCACCTATTCAGGCTTATGAAATACTGAAAAAGTGTCCCCCTCCTCCAACCCAGGTGGACAACTTACAAAAAAGTCACTCCTTCCTCCTGGCTGTAATGCCTCTAAGGAGGCACCAGACTTTGGTAATTGAAGTGCAGACCAGATTTTAACCCTTATTCACGCCTTTCACCTGAGTCTTTGCACAGAGTACATCTTGCATGTCAGTATATAGTGTTCCTGGTTGTAGAGTCCAATCATTGTGACTTCACTGGTTTTCCATTCTTTGATATGACCTTTCATATTCATCATCAGTCCTATAAAACTGCTGAGTGGTGCCAGGTCTCAAGACATACCCCAACTATCTCCACAATCTAGACATTGATGAGGACTTCTAAGACAAAAAGGTCCAAAAAGAATGTGTTCTGGAAACCCTCTCTGTAAGTATTCTTCACTCATTTTTATCACGTGAGAAGATTTGCCTTGGAACTTTGGCATTGGACCAAGTGGCCCTCACCATTTTAACTAAAGTTCTAAGGTCATCTATTTGTGTAGGAGGTCTGATGTGGCATTGCCACGCTAACCTATGCGAGTCTTTCTGCTTGGGGATTTACAATAGTCAGATCATTAGCCCAATATTCGTTGATCTGACACTGAATTATTTTTATAAAGTTCCTAAAAGTTTATCACTGGAGAAAAAAATTTAAAAAAAAACTGATAATTCTTCCCCAACATGGAAAGCATTGGCAGTGTAATCACATGATGTTTTTACTTCCAGTGTTACAATGGAGAAAGCCTGGAAGAGAGGAGCTCTTTGGCTAGTTATAGTAATTAAGTCAATAGGGTCTATTATGTACACGAGCGACCCAAGGGTCATTGCTAGAGTTTTTGTTACTCTCTGTCATTGCTGTAGTTACCTAGAAAAGGGAATCAGGGAGGAGAGGGTAAAAAGAAACAGGAAATAAAAATAGCTTTGGAAAAATTAATATTCAGTTTTCCTCCCCTGTTTTCTTTATTCCTGATAATGAAATAATGTCTTCTTAAGATGAAAAGTTAAGAAAGCAAATAAATTCCTACAAGTTTGGGTTGAGAACAGTGTTAAATAGTGTTCATAAAAAAGAAAGCTCTGGGACATTTTGAGGTAAAGTGACTATATTTTGGCAAGAAAATGGTACAAGTTCTTTCTGATTGAGGGAAGGAAATTATACCTTATATTTGGTTCAAAGAATAACCAGTAAAGAGATGAGAGTTCGTCACCATGGGGGACCATTTAGAAAGTGGGAGGATACTCAGGATTATGTTCTTTGTATGTTGTCAGTTTGAGGGAGAGCCTCCACAGCCCACATGGCACCTTCTGGTTAAGTCGTTCCTATACTTTCTGCTGAAAAAAGATAGTCCACAAAACTCCACTCTTTCTTTCTTAAGCGCTCCCAATAAATGGCCATAAACATGAAAGTCACCTTTGATGTTTGCTAGAAAAATTGATTTTTCCTGTAATATTATAAGCCTTCCCCCTCCCTACAAAATATGTTTTATGGCATCTTCATTGCAAATCTAATTTTAACTAAAGATTTCAAATTATATCATAATAATTCAACAATACAAATTTTGTTCACCCACAAGAGACGTCTACCTTTAATTACATAATAATCCAGTAATGCAAATTTTTATTATCTTGAAGAAAAATTAGAGGAGAAAAATGAGCTAAAATGTGGCAAGCAGTAGATTTATGGAAATATCCAGCATGTAGTGTGATTAGATGCATGACAAGCAGGAACATGAAAAAATTAAATTGCTCCTGCTGGAGAATTTTAACCTACGAAAATGTCACTAATGGATCTTCTGTTCCTAGCTAGGTATCCATGGTTTTAACACTTGTTCACAAAGTCTTCTTTAGGCTTATAACATTAAGTATTCACAATAGAAAAGAGATGTATGCTCTCAAAGGACCGTCCTTCCTTCCACAAATGACTGGAAAAAAAACTCCAGAGTTTGGACACAATTATAGCTATTTTCTAAGATTTTCATCATTTGCCTCCGTAAGTGAATGTCTACCTCATTTGCCTGAAAATTGTACTACATCAGCAAGATGGATCATTTGGCGTCCTTGTTGGTCCTGGGGGATATGAACACAGCCCACAGATCTACCAGCAGCTGACTGCCTGGTAAATGTTTACTTATAAATTAGTGTGGGTGATAATTTATTAAGGTAATAAGCATAGATTGCATTTAATGGCTTAGACATTATGTGTTATGAATGCAGTATTTTATGTTTAGTTGAAGCATATGTATATGATTATTAATATGGTACCCAACTGTAACTCAGAAATTGTGAATTAAAGAGTTTAAACCAAGTTAGGCCATGTATTACAGTGCATCAGCACTTAAATTCAGGAAGGTTTCACAATGGCAAAGCAATATCATATCGTTCACTCATACCATGTATCAGGATTTGTTTATTAGATTCTCTTCTCCTTCCCTCATAAACTGACTCATTCTGTCACTGAAGAACACGGTTTCTCTTTTGACAAGCATCACAGAATCAAAACTTTGGCTTCTGGAGCTGAGGCGAGTAATCTGTCAGCAGGGACACCATGACAGCCTAGGATGATATGCAGAGAAAAAGAAAGAAAGAAATGGGTAAACATTAGCAAGAGTCTGCTTAGGGACCTGTGGAGGGGGATCTGGGTTGCAGCTTTGAAGGCCTGTGGTTGACATGTGTTTCCCTAAGGAAATGATAGCAGGGCAGTTCTGAACTAATACTTATTTTTATTTGGATGAAGACAGGTCAGGAGGGATCAGGGTGACTCAAATATATACACAAACACCATGCTTATTTAGGCCTCATTCCAGGACTAGTCGGGGAGAGAGTTGAAATAAGATACCAAGATGGTAGCCGTGACTGAATTTTCCAGTCATAAGTGAAACATAGGTATTGGTTGGTTTTAGACAGATACAGAGTCCCTCCCATCCTTTTCTTGACACTACGGTTTGGGTAGTTGTAACCTGGAGAAGTTTACAATACATCAGATGTAGAGTAGTAAAAGTAAATCATTTGGGTTAATGAATAATGTCTTTCTGACTCTGGGTCCTCATGAAACAATATTTATAACCAAGAGTACAGCTTCCCATTAGGCTGTTGGCTACGAATGCTAATTGTCACTTTTACTCTTCCCAACTTCCACAATAATGACAATAGTAATAATATAAGAAACAATGGTGACGGGTGTTTATTGAATGCTTAACTGTGTACCAGACTGAGGGCCGTACCATGTGTTAGTCAGTTAAAAAATATTTGCCAGGCATTGCACAAGGTGCTGCAGTGAGGTAGAGAGAAGTGTTTATGCGTGATCTCATTTAATGCAACAACCTTCTAAGGTAGCTTCTGTTACTATCATTTATAGCTGAGGGACCCAATCTTGGAAATAACAGAGAGCACAGAACTGGGTTTGGACCCAAGTTTCTCTGACTTCACTCTTAAGAGGTAGCTTTACTGCCTCTCCAGTACTTGCTCTTTCTTTTCAACCGTACTGTACATGTGACCCTATCCATTAGCAGAAGTGCAGGTCTTACATTTAAAATGCGTTCATTGAATGTATTTATTGAACAGCTACTGTGTGCTGAGCCCTGTGCCGACTGCTTTATGTGCATCATGCTGTTTAGTATCTATGTCTACTGGGTGAGGGAGGAAGAGATGTCAAATACAGATGAAGAAACTGAAGCATAGGTATTTTCCTGAGTGGTGGTAGTAAGGGATGGGTCTGTACCTGCCTGGCCTAGACCTTGACCACTATGCTCAGATGACACTTACCTCATTTAATCCTCACAACCTTATGAGTTGTTTCAATTTTATCCCCATTTTCATATGAATAAATTGGGCTTAGAGGAGTTACAGTACTTGCCCAAGATCACACAGAGAGCCAGAATTATAATGTGATTTCCAAAGCCCACGTTCTAGAACCAACCACTACTCTATATTGCCTTTAGGCTACAAAAATGTATTGAGCACATATTTAGGGGCAGGTACCATTTGTCAGGTACCATTCTAGGTATGATGAAGGACATTACAGACAATATCAATGCTCTTATGAAGGAATTTTCATTATACGGAAGGGACAGGCAGCAAACAAATAAGAAAATATCAAATAGTGACAGATGTTATTAGAAAATAAAATAAAAAACAGGATGAAGGAGGCTGGGGAACCACTTAAGAGTGGGTGGCCAGAGAAGACCTTGTTAAAGGAATGACATTTAAGTTGAGATCTGAATGACAAGAAGAAAATGGGAAGGTCAAACTCTGGGATAAGAACATCCTTCAGGTAAAATATTTTAGAGTTTTCTATGGTTTCCTGGGACAACATCTCAGGTTTGGTTTTGTTTTTAATGGTCATTATATGTGTCAAATTTATTTTCAAATGTTAAATCTTAATCAGTTTGGAGTAGAGATGCCAGATTTAGTGAAAGAAAGGAAGAGGAGGAAGGGAGGAAAGAAGGAAGGAAGACAAATTGGCATTTTGGATAAATGACAATTTTTTTAAACTATATGTTCCCAGAAATTGAATGGGACATATCTATACTAATTATTTATTGTTTATTTGAAACCCCAATTTAACCAGGTATCCTGTATTTTATCTGGCACCCCTGACTTGGAGAGAAGAGACTATAGAAGACTGTGAATTACATCTGCAATATCGTTGTAGTTCTAAGGGTCATCCTGATAGCAGTACTTTGAAGTGTCAGATTTTTTGGGTCCCTTTAGGTTACTTTAGCTCCACAGTAAAGTTTGTAGGCAGAGGAATGAAACTACCTGACTTTTCGTGAGTCCTTCAGCTTTACTCATTATTGAAAAATACAAAAGCAAACTTTGTGGGGAGGAGAGGGTGTGCATGTTGTTTTTTTCAACAGATCCAAAGGCCTGTGCACTATGGAGAGAATTATGTGATTATTGGAGTGTTCTGAACAGCACTGCTGGAAATCACCCAGCATGGAGGCCTTAAAAAGCTCCCCTGAGTACTGAAAGAGTGCATTTTTGCTTTAAAAATGTCCTATGCTTTTAGAACAAGCCCTTCAGCTTATTTAGTTATTACATCAGTCATTATGGGCACCTTAGGACTTGAGGCCAGATTGTATCTTTCCTTCCTTCTTCTGTCCTGAAATTATGTGTGTAGTAGAAATCATTCTCTAGACAGTAGTGCTATCCAGTAGGACTTTCTGCAATGATGGAAATGTTCTATGTCTGTGCTGTCAAATACAAATAGTGCAGCCACCAGCCGTATGTGGCTATTGAGCACTTGAAATGTGGTTAGTATGTCTGAAGAATTGAATCTTATATTTTATTATATTTTAATTAGCGTAAGTCTAAATTTAAATAGCCATATGTGCCTAGTGGCTACTGTATTGGATAGGGAAATTCTAGAGGAAAACACGTGTTGTGCCTTTGGAACATCCCAGAAAAAACTGTCACAGCAGTGCTGAACCTAAATGCCATTCTAAATAAGCTAAGAAGAATTTCTTGGCCTATAAAATAGGAATTTAGACTTAGACAATCGCTAAGGTCTCATCCCACTTGAAAATGTCATGTTTCTATGAATTGTACAGACCGTGTGGGAACTGCACAATATTCATTTTTTTAAATCTCCAATGCCTGGCAGCGGGCCTGACACACAGTAGACACTCAGTATATGACTGCCGAATGAATTTGACTCTAATCAGATGACTCAGAGACATAAAAAAGATAGCGTGTGTGTCACCACCTCCCTTCCAGAATTCATTGCAGATATCACTAGTCAGTTTTGCCACTTTTTCTTTCCGAGACCACAGGCAAGCTTAGAACCTTCTGAACATAGGACTCTAAGTAGCCTGTTGATGAGATTGCGGACCTAAGATTAAAAATATTTGCCATCTATATAGCTTGATCTGCTTATTTTATCTGTGAGGAAACTAGGACCTAGGGAGGTAACACTTATGCAAGATGACACAGCTGACTCGTATCAAAGACAGAGAATTCACATCTCCTCACTCCTAGTCGAGATTAGATTCTCTACCTGTTTTTAATATGGCCATGCCTCTTGTTTTCTTTAAAATGTATTTTCCCATTAGGGCAAATGGGTACCTCAGCTAGGTGGGAGATGGAGAGATGGTGGTAGGACTTAGAAAGATGGAAAATGGGTGGGCATAAGATTTCACTGTGTGTTTGTATATATATATATGCACACGCAGGTAGATATATTCTTGTAAACATTTCAACTATGTGAATACATTATGTACTTAATTTTTAAAGTAAATTCAATTAAAATATGTACTTAGTAAGCTTTTTAAAAATTCAGAAGTGCAGAGCATCTTCATAAATGATATTTTAGAAAGCTTACTTTTAATTTCCACCTCCCCCCACCGAATTTCTAGAAAGGACCTTTAACAGATTTGGGTTGATTTACCTTTATAACTTCAGTCATATTCTGATAAAGAATAGAGCTTGAGGAAAATTTTTTGCTACATTTCTTCCTGAGGTATATGGTTGGAGAGCTCACATTTTCTTTTTTGTCATCTGGATCTTTGCTACTCAAAATGTGGGCTGCAGGACAGCAGCATCTGCATTACCTGGGTGCTTGTTAGAAATGCTGAATCTTGGGCCCCATCTCAGACCCCCTAAATCCAAATCTGCACTTTAACAAGATCCCTAGGTGATCCCTAATGGACATTAAAGCTTCTAGATGACGTGACAATTATCATTTTAGCCAAAAGTTAATGTCCTGAGGTGGCAAGCTGGAAGGTACAGTAAAACAAATATCATCCCTCTTATTAGACAAATTTAGGCCTGATGTACAACTTTTTTTTTCTCGTGCTATACAGTGTAATCTTGTTTATCTATTCTACAATTTTGAAATCCAAGTCTATCCCTTCCCACCCTCCACCCCCCTGGCAACCACAAGTCTGTATTCTCTGTCTATGAGTCTATTCTGATATACAACTTTTCATTGCAAAGGGAGTCATGATTGGCTTCTAATCAGCCAGAATGGAGCTCAAATCTCTCCTGGTCACTGCATTAGATCAACAATGAAGATGATAATGGTGATAATTATAATAACAATATTTACAGTGTATTAGATAACATGAAATGTTTTACATGTATTATTTTAATGATCACAATAACCCTATCTACCCCTATTTATAGATTATATAAATAATTAGCAGACAGTCCTTTCCAGCTTGTTTCTGTCTACTCCAGATGTTGAAAGCTATAAACTACATATCCCAGACTCCCTTGCACCTGGGGTGCAGGCATGCCACTCAGCTGCATCTTGGAGCCATTGTGACTTGGAGCCATAAGTGAACATGCAGTGGAAGCCATATTTGGTCAATTGGATCTTGTGGTCCATATGCAGGTGGAGGTATCTGGTTCAGCTGGGGAAGCTATAATGGAGTATCTGACATTTAGTTTCCAGGGCATTAGGTACCAGGCTATGTGTGGCTGTGTCAGTGGTGTTTTGGCTACAAAATAACCACAGTGTTATTGGGCAATGTTCCTGCCTGTGTTGTTTCTGAATATGTGGTATACAAGAATGATTCACTGCACTCTCTCTCCTAAGAGATTATGGGAGGTGTCTAAAACTTGAACAAATTCCTTTTTCTTTATTAACCTGGAGTGGACTCTATTGTTTGACAGTTAGACTCTGGATGGTTTAGTAATTGAGATGAGTTAAATCACTAAAAGCGGTGCTAAATTGTGGCACTTGAGTATTCTGATTTCCAGAGAAGAAAGTAATGTTTGAGATATTGTGAAGCAGAGATGTGAAGTTAATATTTCCTAGAATAGTGGTGATGAAGATGAAACTAGTGGCATTTTGTTAAAGAGACTAATAATTTTTAAGATTAGTTTTGCTGCAATTCTGCAGATGTTCTATATCTAAAAACAAACGTGTCCGTATGGCTAAAGTTAGTAGAGAACCAAAACAATTATCTAGGCAAGGAGAGAAAGGAAGAAAGAGGGGAGGAAGGAAATAAGATTTCTTTGAATGCCCATTTTGTGCCAGCCACTGAATTAGGGGCTTCTATAAACATTATCAAGGGGATTACAAAATTACTGCATAAGAATTTACAATTTATAATGGTTGGCAGGCAATGGTGGCAGGTGCCCAGGCTGATCAACAACAGTAAGAGTTTGGACTAAAATAGGTATATTTAGATGGGGATCAGGTTTACTCCATTAAAAATACACAATAGATGCTAATAAGCAATAATACTCTATTATGAACTTTCTGAGGAAAAAAATAGATGCCATATCAGCAACTAATGTAGGTGGATAATCCTGGTTGCTTATTATTTACCAAAAGGCACGAATGACCAAGTTGGGGCCACATGGAGAACTCCCTATCCTCCAGTCTCCATTTCTTGCTTACCATGATTGTCCATTTTCTGTTTTCAGCCTCTGGGAAGACTAGTGATCGTGGAGAATAAAACACTTCATCGTCCACTTCTTCTGGCTTTCTGGGCAAGCAGTGTAAAAATGTCCAGTCAGAGGCAGCAACTTTAGCAGTCTAAAGAAAAGATGAAGGTAAGACTGTGTTTTGACTATTTTATGCGGCTATCACATTTGTCGTCTTCAGAGTCAGAGTCTCTGACTCTGACCTAGAGTCAGAGGTCAATGCAAAGGGAGAGATCAAGGGGAAGAGTGAGGGTTTAAGCTCAAGGCACCCAGCGGAAATGCATATGGTACTTTCAGCTTACAAACCTTTATAGTCATTTTTAATTTGGAAGATTATCACTCCAAATTAAACCACTAACTCAATTTTCTGGTACTCTGTCTAGTGGGATAGTGGACGTTTCAATAAAGAGCTCTACTATTGTAATATGTGGCTAATAGCAAAAGTCACCAATTATACCCCAGTATATTTTAAAGGTTGCTTTTATATCCTTGTTGTTATATTATTAGCTTATCTCCAAATTATTGTCTTTAGCACTTGAAGCATACTTCATTACTAGTTAAAAAAATTTTGAAAAAGAGCTCTGAGATGGGAGTGCATTAAACAGGATTATGGGCACTATGCACTAGATGCTTCATTCTTTTTTTTTTAATTGAAGTACAGTCAGTTACAATGTGTCAATTTCTGCTGTACAGCACAATGTCCCCGTCATGCATATACATACATATATTCATTTTCATATTCTAGATGGTTCATTCTTAATGCAAATGTCCTAACAATTTTAATTTTCTCCAACAGTTAATGCCTGAAAGTTACATTTTCCCATCCATTTTCATTGTTCACTTAGATTCAAAACTACATTCCCTCATAGCTTCTTACCTCAAAGTTACTACCTTTGTACTAAATTTTTTTTTGGTTTTGTACAAAAAACAATAGAAAACGGGCCAAGGATATGGTATGATGTGATGTGATATGATGATATGAATGGATATGACAGCAGTTTTATAGAAAAAAGATATGGAAATGGCCAATAAACTTGCAAAGGTGTTTAACCCCATTAGTAATCAGAGAAATGAAAATTTTAAAAAGCACGAGATATAGATTTTTAAATATTAAAAATGTAAATAGCAACAAAGAATGGAGAGAGTGTGGAGGGAGTTTAAATTGTCAATCCTTTTTGGATGGGCAATTTAGCAACATTCCTTGTATTTTAAAAAGTATATGCCACTTCACCCAGAAAGTCTTCTTCTAGGGATCTATTCTCTAGTAATACCTGCACAAAGAAATATATATATAAGGATCTTCATTGCAGCATTGTTTATAATCGGCATAATTGGAAATAGCCTAATTTTTCAACAGGAAGCATTTTAAGTAAAATATGATCCACTCATACTTTGGAATTCAATGCAGCCACTTGAAAAGAGTGAAAACTATCTAAATGAATGGACAAGAAAACCTAAGATTTGTTATTTGGAAAAAATAAGTCAGAATAATACGTCTAATCTACCATTTATGATAAATCAATATTTGTGTGTGTGTGTGTGTGTGTGTGTAGGCATATGTAAATACACAGAAGAGGTCTGCAAAGAGACACAACAAATTGTTTAACAGTGGCTACCTCTGAGAATAGTCACTGTGAAGGGGATGGGGAAAATACATTTTTACTTTTTATTTTTCAAACTTCATTACGTTGTCACATATAAATAAGGAGCTTGTATTTATATTTTACTTTATCAATAAAATATCTATTGGAATTGCTCGATCACTTTCTCCACCAAAACAAATTAGTTGCTCTGCAGACAGAATCCCAATGTACATCTGACTTTGAGGGTATTCCTGCAGAACAGCGGTTCTCAAAGCATGACCCTGGAGCAGCAGCATTGCATCACCTGGGAACGTGGCAGAAATGCAAATTCTTGGGTCCCACCCCTGACTTACTGATTCAGAATCCCTGGAGAAGTGATTCCTGCCAGCTGTGTAGTAACAACTCCAGGCAAGTCTAAGGCATGCTCGAGATTGAGAAGCATTGCTTCAGTCTTCAAGAAAGGCATCCGATTAGATAGGATTCTCCTGGGAATGCCTTGGAGGCAGGTAGTAAAATTCAACTGAACTTGAGAGTCCTTAGAAAACAGAGGTAAGGACTAGCCTGAAGTACAGAATTAAGGAGCTTTTCTTAGAGAAATCAGAAGAAACTGCAACAAAAGTAACATAATGTCTCTAAACAAAGAGTGAAGCATTCCAATGTCTCCAGCGCTGTGAGAGGGAAAAGCTTGCTTCTTTCTTCTGCCTGGGCTGCAAATTCCTTCATCCCGGGCAAAAGTGTCTTTCCAAAGGACATAGCTAATCTTCAGGAGGAGAGAAATCACTGGAGGATAGTCAGTGAGTCCTCTATAGGGAATGAAAGGACAGTCTGCTCTCCCCAAAGTGAATGAGTGATTAGATGCTTCTGACCTTTATGAATGGAATTAATGAACCTTCAGAGAGGCATCAATTTGTACCTTCATTGTAACCTGGTAACCTTGGAAGGCCTGGAGCCGCCTCTTCTTCTCCTCTTCTTGTCCCATGCTTATCCAAGTGTCTGTAATTAATACATTGCCTCCACGAGCCGCTTCCAATGGATCATTCGTCAGTGACAGCTTGGTATCATTCTAGCAGACACAAACAAGCCGGTTAGAGAACTTCATGGGACAGAGAAGGACAATTTGGACTTTGCACATAAGGAGCATACCTCCTTGGCATACTGCTCTGCCAACTTGGTTATATTGGGATCCGGCTCATAACCCTGCAGGGGGAAGAATTAACAGCTATTTAGGTAATTTTATTAATTATACTTTCTCATATGTAAGAAAGTATGCATTATTGTCCTTTCAACAATATTCCCTCTCTCCCTTTTTTGCTGTAAGTTGTAGCCCAGCCATGTTTAGTAGAATAAGATACTTCCATCTAGAATTTGCAACCTTCATAGTGCTTTGGGGAATTTAAAAAGTTAATCAATTGCCCTGTTTTTCTTTTATGATCTCTGCCCTCTTTAGTCATTCAGACCAACGGGGTGCGGTGCTTTCTAGCTCTTGGTAGCATGTCTTCTTTTTCCTCTAATAGTTTAAGAGGATTATATACGTAATTCTACAACTTAATGCATTTTTGTCTCAGAGTCTTTCCACAAGCTGTTTTTCTTTTTAATGCCTTTTTTGTCTGAAATGCTTTTTCCCACCCACTCCATGTGGATAATGCTTGCAGGTGTCAGCTAAAATGTTTCCTCCTCAGAAAAACCTTCCCTCTCCCCCTCAGTTAAATGCTAAGAGCCCACATGCACACATCTTACTCTTTTGCGCTCACCGGCAGGTGTTCTGAGTGCAGGGCGCTTGCTTTGAAATGGCATTTTCACAGCAAGTATACTGTTTTCGCTGAAATATATTTGTTCGGGATGGTTTGGTGAGGGCAGGGTAGGGGCTTGGGTGAGGCAAGTAAGGTGCTTCGGCACCAAATCTAAGGAGGCACTCACTGTCAGAGTCGTGCAAGCACAAATTTTAGACCATAAGCACCTCGCTTCCTCACCCTGGTCTCAACCCTAGGTGAGGGGACACAGTGGGAACAGCTAAAGCCCCCCAAGCTATTCCAAATCCCACAGGTAGCCCCTCTGCCTCCATCCTCATCTCCAATCTGTTCCGTGCAGAGCAGCAAGAATTGTTTTCTTTGAAGCTTTCAATGTTTACTACTTGTTCCTTAAGTCGAAGATGATTAAGGGTATCAAGGCTCCAGGCCGACATCTCCTGCTTCTGTCTCTTTTAATTTTTCTCAACATCTTGCTGCAGGAAAGCCAATCTCATTGTCATCCTTGTACATGTCTTGCCCTTTTCTGCCATCACAGCCTTTTGCCCTTGAACACCTCCCCCTTTTCCCCTCCTGGGCCCATCTTCTTCGGAACTTGTCAGCTCCTCCCTTGTCAAAACTGTAGCCCAGCCTCACCTCCAGACCCTCCATGTGAAAGGCTTGTCAGTCCAAACACCGTAATTATTCTCACCTTCCTCCATCCTTCTCATCCTCCTGAAATCTTAGAATTTATCATGACTTGGTTTTAATAAATTCTCAGTAGGGAATTGTGATGGGTGCTGTGATGTGCCACCCAGACCCCCCTTCGTGAATAAAGGGCTGATTCCCCCAGCTGCTGGGCGTGCTGCCGGAAGATGGCTTTCAGCTGTCAGCCCTCTTTGGGCACTGCCTCAGCTGCAGAGAGCCGAGTCACCCAAGGTCACATACCCTTCCAAGGCCAGCTGCATTCAGTGACTGACTGACGGGAGGGCATGAAAACCTGACTCCCTCCTCCCAACTCAGGACAGCCCTAAATGGCCATCTCAGATCTAGAACTCTCCATAAGGTCAGCCGAGGCTGTTCTTGGCCCTGCATCGCAGCTCGGCTTCTCCCTCCCTCTGCCACTCCTGCTTCCTTCCCGCTCCCCCCTCTTCTCAAGGGCACGCCCTAATAAACATCCAGCACATCCTGCAGGCTGAACTCTCAGAGACTGCTTCCCAGGAAACTCAACCCACAACAGGCATGTTCAGGTTTATTCATTTGAAATTGCGTTTATTTGCATACGATTGTCTATCATAGTTCCCTCTCTCATTACAGAATTCTTGAGGAAAGAGACTGCTCAGATGATGATGCCTGCAGGCATTTTGGCAGCTTTATCATCCTCAAATAGCCATAAATTCTGGAGCTTTGTATATTGGAATTTGGGAGAGGTAATTGATAAAGGCTTGCTAATTTAGGAATTCATGTTGTGACCATTCATACTGGTGAACATAAATGAAGCAGCTGGGCTATCACCCCATGTACCTCCTGCCCTGAAAATTCAGCCTTCCCTTGGAAGGCAAGTTTTCTACTCCCTAAGTATAATCATTCTTAGAGAAAGAATCAATAAGTACTTAGAGAACCAACAGAGAGGTTTGGAAATTAGAAAATCACCCAACCTTGCATGCACTGGGCCATGACTGAGAATACAAAAAGGAATGCTTTACTCACAGCTCAGCTTTCAATACTAAACCACTCATTGGCTTTTACATAAATCTTAAAACCAGACTAAGAAGGTGATTAACAAACCCAGTTCCATCTAAATATTCACTTAGAACAATGTTAAAATCATTACCATCAATAGTTTATGGAGCAATTTTACAATCAAGGACAAAATTATGTTTTCTTGAGCATGTAAGTCATTCTTGCTTGAAGAATGGGGAAATAGATGAATTATGGCTTTGGAAACTTTTCAGTGGTTTTTTTTTTTAATGGAGGTGCTAGGGATTGAACCCAGGACCTTGTGCATGCTAAGCATGAGGTGTACCACTGAACTATTCCCCCACAACTGCTTCTTAAATTTACAAGTCTTGCTTTATCTTTAAAGGAAATAGGTCTATTTATAAATTGATGGAACAACTTATGCACTTCAGATTTTCCAGAAGACTTTTTAAAACTCGTACTCCCTCCCACAAAGATTTAACCAGGTTTTAGTACTCTTTATCATTTAAATGAGTTTCTGCATAAGAACAGCACTGAAATTACTCTATAATATTGGAATTTTTCCTTTGACGTTAGTAAAACATCTTTGACATGCAATAAAATGTTGAAACCATATATTTCTCCAACAGAATAAAGCCTTTCCAAAAACACCTTATAGCAGGGAACAATTATTGTTAATGTATGTTTTATCTGTAAAAACTAAATGCAGTAATAGTTTGCATTAATATAGAGCCTTTCTCCAAACTAGATTTGTAGTGAGCGTGTGCTAACTCTTCCCAGAAAATGAAGAAGAACCGCCTTATACACATGTCAGATCTGGCCCTTTATTTCAGTTCATGCTGAATGAAATAGAATTATCTGTTGTAAGAGTTAACTTTCTCAGTCCCCAAACTCAGTCCCCTTATTACTATGATAGGGTGACTTCTAACATATGCTGGTGACTTCTAACATATGCTGCTGCCTATGCCTGACATTTCTCCTCTGGCAAGTGTATTAGGTAGAAGTGTGTCCTCCAAAAATTCATTCCCAAGCAGAACCCCAGAATATGGTGTTTTTTAGAAATAGGGTCTTTGCAGATGTAATTGGTTAAAAGGAGGTCATACTGGATTTGGGTTGGCCTGAATTTAATATGTCTGCTATCCTTGTAAGAAGAGGAACACTGGACAGAGAAACACGAGCATAAAAGGAGGAAGATGGAGGCAGAGATTGGAGTGATGCAGCCACAAGCCAAGGAAGGCCTGGGGCTGCCAGAAGTGGGGAGAGACAAGGAAGGATCCTCCCCTCGAGGTTTTGGAAGGAGTATGGCCCTGCCAACACTTTGACTTTGGACTTCTAGTCTCCAGAGCTGAGAGAATACATTTCTGTTGTTTGGAGCCACCCAGTTTGTGGTCATTTGTTATGGCAGTCCTGGGAAACTAAGGCAGCAGGGTGTGCTGACTGAAACTGGTTTGGCAAGAATACTAGGGAAAAGCATTTGGTTTGGTTTTGTTGGTTTTATTTGGCTTTGGCGGGATGTAGCAGACAACGGTGGTGCTCCACCCAGATGCCGTCAGAGGACCCCATTTTACAGCTTTCACTCCCTCTCCCAATTTCAGTGCACTTGGAACACCTACCACTCACAGTTCTTCTTCAGCAATTGGCCTCTGGCTAGCCGGCTGCTTTTCCTGCCAAAAGTGCCAGGGGATTCACCACCCCACCTCCCCACCCTGCCCTTGACCAATGACCGCTTTCAAGGATAAGAGCCTACCTTCCTTGTCCCAGGTTGGGAAGACTCTGGGTCATAACCTACATGCCAGAACTCACTGGTCGGATCAGGCTGAAGCCCCCTGCTGTGGGACTGCGCCTGACATGGCGCTTGGGTGACCAAATCACCCTGGTTCGCCTGTGACCCTCCTGGTTTTTAGCACTGATAGTCCCATATCCCCAGAAATCCCTCAGTCCATCTTAAACTCAAGAAGCAGAAGCAGGGGTGGGGGATTTTTAGGCCTCGCATAGTCAGCTCTGAATGTCTTAGCTCATCGAAGTGAACCCACAGCAGTGACTACTGAGACAACAGCAAACACATGCTTGGTCAGAAATACCCGGGTGCACAATATTTTGAATCGTCATCTCTTAATGAGAAGGTCAATTCTCTTACTTCGTTTCTGAAATGGTTTCTCTTTAGGGGAGTTTCCCCTTCAAAAGACTCCTGATAGGAAATTATATGTAATGAGAAACACAATGGTGCAAAGAATTCAGTAGAGATGGGGTATATAAAAGGTTCTGTGGGGATCCTTTAGGGCTGGTTTGTGTATGAAACTCTTACAGGACTAGTTTTTATCCCCTAAAAGGCCTATTTATTCTGTATGAGGCTGGGAGTATCTTAACATAGAGCTTCTCCTAAGGGGATCTGCACTTTTTTCTTTGGGTGTATTTATTTATGAATTTATGTTTTTGTGTTGGCAGAATATTTACATGTTAAAAAAATCAAACCATATAAAAAGATTTGCTGTGGAAACAAAGTCTCCCTCCTACCTCTATCCTTGAACCTCCCAGTTCCACTTCTCAGAGACAATTATTACTAGTTTCTTGTGTATCAAAAGGGTTACTCTGGACCTATAAAAGAAGCCACATTTTCCATACATTCTGTGGGAGGCTGATAGGTAGGAAGTACATGAGGTCAACTTCACAGCCAGAACTCAGATTTAAAAGCGCCCTTGAATTTGAATTCTGAAATATCAAGCTGGTGTAGATGCCATCACTTTGTCCTTCAGACTAGATTGATTTTTTTTTTACCGAATTGTAGTATTCGAAAAATGACAGCATCCTCCCCATGCCTTCGAGCACTGTCTAGATTTCATTACTTTCTTATACCTTTGTGATAGCAATGCACAGGAATGCCAGTTATCATAATGGCTGGTTTCAGGGCATCCAAAGGGATAATTCAGATGTGCTTTTAACACAGACTCACAGGATGAAAGACATCAGCCAAGACTATCTCTTATTGTAGAGATCCGAAATTGGGCACTCAAGAGTCCAGAGAGCTACAATAGTAGGGCTAGTAATATAACTTAAATTTTCTGGGCTCACCTGTGCTCTCCTTGAATAAAAGAGAGGTTTGTTTTTCACTAGGTAATTATGTCTAGGAATAATTTAAGAGGGGGTTAGTTTCAAGGCAGAAAGTTTCCCTACCTTTGGAGTAGCCACCTGAAGATGCATCCCGAATTTCGCTGCACTCATCATGATGGAGTGCAGGATGTTATTCCCATCCCCAATCCAGCTGAGGGTAAGGCCTTTCAGAGAGCCATAGTGTTCCTGAAAGGCAAAGGTTGGAGGAGATTACATCTGAGAGGAAATTCAATTATGTGAGGCAATTATTAGGAATGGTTATTAAGAACAATAAATAAGGAAAATAAAGGAAACAGTCTTCATCTCAATTTTAAAGGCTTTGTTGGAATGAATAAACTACTTTTTTTTGCATTATACAGGGCATTTTGATAACATGAAGGTACAATCACAAAAAAATAGCAAATTGTCCAAATATCTTAAGCCAAGACATCATATGAGCTCATATAGAGACTCATATTTTCATATATTTCAAATCTGAACCTTTGTTGTATTTATTCTTTCATTCAACAAATTGAGACCCATCAATGTCCAGACACTGTTCTTAGCCCTAGAAATGTTACAATGAACAAAGAAGACAAAAATTACTGCCTTTACAAAGCTTACACTTGTTGGTATAGAAAAGGAGAAATACAACGCACCTAGAACAGTGTAGCATGGTAGTTGAGTATGTTCCCATTTATATAAAGTTGAAAAACATGCCCGTTAATACTCTCGGTTGTTTATGGGTATTGATATGTGCAGTTAAAGTATAAACGCATGCTTGGAAATTATAACTACAAACACCAGGATAAAAATTTCTCTGTGGGGTTGGAGGAAATGGGATCAGGGAGAGTTACACAGTGGACTTCAACCCCATCTGTAATATTTTCTTTAAAAACAAAAAATTCTAAAGTAATATTTGGCAAAACTGTATAATGGGCACATGGGTGTTTTACTTTTCTTCAAGTGTCTATAGATTTCATATATTTTATACATTTACATAGTTATAAAGATAAGATTTTTTTAAAGAGAAAGGCTAACTAATTTGGAGATCATAGAACTACTGGGTGGCAAAGCTAGGATTTAAATCCAGGTCCATCTGATTTCGACTCCATGCTCTTAATAAGGTGCTATTTATTCATTCAACTCCTACTTTGAGTATCTCCTTTATGAATGCATGGTACCAGGTCCTGCAGGGGACAATATGATGAATAGAACATTTCACTGTCCATCAGTGAATGTATTAATATAGTACTGATGAAGCCCCAGGGGGAAGCATTACATAATCTGGCGTATATGTAAAGCCACACCTACAAACAGTCACTTGGTATCTAACATTGCTATATCACCCTCTCTGCATTAATCTTATCTTCATTACCAAAGAGTCTACTTTTGAGTTTAACTTCACATTTGCACGTGTGTAGCTTATTCAAATGAGGAGGAAGATGGACCTGTCCAGTTTGTCCTGTCTCCCCAGAATAGTCCATAGACACAGAAGGTATGGTTGTCAGAATTCCCAGTGGCAAGACTATGTAGATTGGCTGTGGTAAACCAAATGGGACGAATCTTTCAAAGTTATTAACGTTCTTAAGTTGAAGGGCCGTGGCTAAGTTTGAGCCTCAATTCTATAAATTCTGCATGCTTTTAACTCCAGTCTTAAACAGTTTATTAAAATGATAGAAAATGGCCTCCTTGTCAGAAAGTGGTTTAATCATTGACCATTTTGAATATTCAGAGCACTCTCCACTAATCTTCACTCCCAAGCCACAGAGCCTGATGTATGTGGGATTACATAAAGATTTTTGATTTTCTGTGCTCCAGCATTCCCTGTTCATCCACCATGTTAAATATGGCACCAAAAAGCAAAGTGATTGAAAGAACAGGGGATGAGAGAGGGGTTAAAAATGGTTGGAAAAAGGTTTGAGAATAGAATTATCTTATAATCTGTTTTTCACAATGCCCTTTCTTTGCTGGATATCTAGATGCACACATATGCTATAATTCTTTGCCAAGATGATATTTGAAAACAAAACATCAATACCATGATTTAATGCTTCCATGTAGAGCTAGTTAGGGATTATTTATTGATTTTGCTCTTGTGTTAGGCAAAGAAATAAGCCAACCTGGAGCGTGAGGTAATCAGCCAGGATCTGGATAGGGTGGTACAAATCGGACAGCCCATTGATGATTGGGATGGATGCTTCTTTAGCCAAGATGTCCAGATCTGATTGTTTATACACTCGCGCCAACACTGCATCTGTCATGCTAGACAACACACTGCGGCAGACCAAGAAAAGATCAATCAAAGTTGATTATGATCAATAATTCCTTCTTTAATATAGGATCTTTTTTTAATTGAAGTACAGTCAGTTACAATGTGTCATTTTCTGGTGTACAGCACAAAGTCCCAGTCATACATACACATACATATATTAGGATCTTAAATAGTGATAAGAAATGCTAATAAATTGGAACTTTTATTATGTTACAACTACCTATCAACATGACAGACTGAAAAACTAATAATAAACACGTAGTCAGTAAAGAAGCCAGATGTTGTTCCACTGATGTCTTAGCCAGTGACTACTGATTTTAGCATTTTTACAGAGATAAGAAACCAATTGTAGGCCTACCAGTTGTGATGATGAATTATCATTGATATGTGGTAGTTGGTAAAGTTAAAAGGAACAATACCAAAAAAAAGATATACAAAGAAAAATTAAGGCCGTCTTCTTTAGAGTAACCAGCTACCCAGCCCTATCTGATACCCTAAGGGAATGGGTCCCAAACTTGGGTGTGTATCAGAACTAAGTGAAGGCTAATAAACAAGTGCAAGCTCCTGAAATAGGATAGACCCTGGGTCTTTGTACTTTTACCAAGTTTCCCAAGTAACTCAGAGAACTTTCAAAAGTTTCAGAACCACTGTCCTAAGACAGGCTATTACAGTAGAAGAATTTTAAATCTTCTCCCCTTTTTTCAAAAGCACAATACAAATTCCCTTCCCAGTACAGATATGCTGATGTTTCATACTATAGAATGCAGGCTTTTAACTCTACCATGGGAAAGTTACTTAAATGGAGGTAGATATCCCAATAGGGTCTATAATTATAATCAATTATCAATTCCCTATTTCAGAAGAATTGATTAATTTTATGACACTTAAAATTCTATGAGAGTGGGAGGTTGAGGAGTGTTTGACCCCAAAGGACTTTTTAAAATATATATCACTTCCTACAGTGTGTAGAGATAGGATTTAAAAAATCTGGGTTAGCCACTGTAGTTGACCTTCTGGAATCTCAGTCAGAAAAACAGATCTGACTTCTGTTGTAGCCTCTCAAATCATTTTAGGGAGCTAGGACTATAGGCTGCCAACCTCTTATGACTTTCATGAACTTTACAATGTGTTGTTGAGTTTTGCTAGATTTAGTGTGTATCACATGTAAATGTTATCTTAACCTCAAAAATGAGAAAACCAAGGCCTTTGAAAACCTTGAAGTAATTAGACCAAGGTTGAGAAAGGATGAAGAAAGATGAGGCTGAAACAAGGAGATGCTAGGAGAGCAACTGGAGGAGTCAATGCCCTATATACTTGAGTTTTTCAAGAATATTGAGAAAGAGCAGTTGTGGTTCCCTCCCTTGAAAAATCCCAAGAGCTCCGGAAGCAACCAAAAGGCAAGCACGCATTTACTTGCCTTGTTTATCATGTGGAGTTGGTATCCCTGGACCCTCTGTGGTATACTCCCATGTAATAGTGACTGGTCTGCCTTTTGAGGTTGCCCAACACCTCCTAGAACAGAGGTTCTCGACCATGGCTATGCATTAGTATCACCTATGGAGCTGTAAAAATTCTGATGCCATATTCTGCCCTTTGGAAGTCTAAATCAGAAGCTCTGCTGGGGGACTCACATCGATATTTTCAAAGCTCCTCAAGTTATTTCAGTATGAAGACAAAGCTGAGAACCATTGTCCTAGAAAACAGACTGAGTGAGGCGGTGGGAGAAGCATGGGATACTCTGCTGCTGGGTAGAACAATGGATCAGTGTAGAGGAGGAAAGTCTTAGTTGCTGAAATCTCGTACTATGAGAAAAATAAGGGATAACAACATGATATGTTATACTGGAAAGAACAAGATCTTATACACTTATAACAGAAGTACAGTTGACCCTTGAACAGCATAGGTTTGAACTGCACAGGTCCACTTATACATGGATATTTTTCAGTGGTAAACACTACACTACTACATGGTCCATGGCTAGGTGAATCCATGGATGCTGAGGAATGGCAGCTACTGAGGGCAGACTGTGCATATGTGGATTAAGCCCTGTGCTGTTCAAAGGTCAACCGTGTTTTCCTTTTAGCTCAGTCACTACCAGGAGTGGTCGCATGGCAACAGCAGTAGCTATAATCTTTTCTCCCTTCAACACTTGTTAAGCATCACTAGTGCCCAAATTTTGGTCTTAATATTGTTCTGTACATAAAAAGGGAACCAGAAACTATTAGAGAATAGTTAATTCCATGTCCTTGAGATAAAATCAGTATAGATCTGTAATACTGTTGTTGCCAGGAAGCAAAATGATTTTAAAAATAGCAGAGGCAGTGCTAAAAGGAAAAAGAACCAACTTAAACATTTGTCAAGTTGTGATCATTTACAGTAAAAATCATTAGGCAAAACAAGTTGCATGTATAAAAGGCCATGATGCTCATAAGAGCTAATATAAAGAAAATGTACAAAAATATGATTGTAATATCAAAGAAGGATGACTATTATCACATACATTTAAATTTATTTACTTAAGTAAGTAGGAAAGTGCTTATATATAACTGTATAGATATGGATAGGTATTTCATGGGGTTTTGTTAAGTATATTTCTGTTCATAAAGTATAGATATGTGCCATTTTTCATGTGTGTAAACCATAAATAACACAACTTATAAGCCAAACAGTCCTAGAAATAGTCAAATCTGTAACATAAATGGACAAGCCCATTAGCATTTGTGGTCTTATATGAGGTAGAAGACTAGTCTTGCAGTTAACTAGCACCCGTTGCCATATACAGTTTCCAATTAAAAAGATGATACAACCGTTTATTCCAAACTAATAACTTAGTTAACTGTCCTGACGGAGAAATCTAAATTTTCAAACTCACTTTCCTGTCTCTCTAGGAATGAAACTTCTTGGTGACCCAACTAACTATAAAACAATGCCAATCAGAAAGGCATATATTTTAAAATATTGAAACCAGGCCAGGTAAATATATCATAAAAATAGTGAGGAGGTTATATAGCCCAGTGGTGGAATGCATGCCTAGCATGCACAAGGTCCTGGGTTCAATTCCCAGTACCTCCGTTTAAAAAAAAATGAACAAGTAAACCTAAAATTACCCCCCCATTAAGAAAAAAAATGAAAAAAAGAAAAAATTAATTTAAAAATATATATCATAAAAATATTACAATGACTCATATATTGCCAGAGATTGAAAACAAATAAAAATTAAAGAATATCCCATCTTTTAATTTCTTTAAAAAATCAGAATTCATATGAAAAACAGAATAAGGATCCTATGGCAGACAGAATAATGCTCCCCAAAAGATGTTCATGTCCTAAGACCCAGAACTGTGAATATGTTACCTTACATGGCAAAGGAAGTTTTGCAGATGTGATTCAGTTAAGGGTCTTGAGATGGGCAGATTATCCTGGATGGGTCCAATATAATGACAAGGGTCCTTATAAGAAAGAAGCAGGAAGTCAGAAATGAAAGAAGATGCTAGCTAAGTTGCTGGCTTTGAAAGGGAGGAAGGGAATCATGTGCCAAAGGATATAGGCAGCCTCTGCAGGCTGGAAAGGCCAAGGAATTGGATTCTTCCCTGGAGCCTCCAGAAGGAACACAGCCCCGTGGACTCATTTTAGACCTCTGACCTGCAGAATGTAAGATAATAAATTTGTGTTGTTTTGAGTTGCTAAATTTCTGGTAATTTGTTTAAAAAGCAGCAATAGGAAATGAATATCAGAACCCATGATAAAAAGTGAGGGAGAAATTGGGAATTTGGGATTATTAGATACAAACTACTATATACAGAATAGGTAAATAACAAGGTCCCACTGTATATACAGCACAGGGAAGTATATTCAATATTTTGTAATAACCTATAATGAAGAAGAAAATATATACACACATACACACACACACACACACATATGACTGAATCGCTATGCTGTACACCAGAAACTAACACAACATTGTAAATTAACTATACTTCAATAAAAAAATCTAAAACTAGGTGATAAAAACATATTCAACCCTAGCGGCCAGAAGCTGCAATTTAATTCATCTTGAACTTAGCAACCATTTCCTATAACCCAACCAAAACTAAGTGGTCAGCAATCCACTTAAACTGCATTACTAGCTTCTTGAGATGATTTTTTTTCTTTCCAGTCTAGTAAAATTACACACATACATTTAAATTCCAGGACCATATAAAAATAAGAATAAAAAGTAGGGGTAAGAATGTAAACAAAATCAAATCTATGATATTAATAGCATTGTGCTCAGTTTTGTTGTTAAAATATTCATCAGCTCTGTAATCAATGTTGTGTTTTATGTGTATATTTTCCTTTTTAAAATATTTAGAGCATTCAAGGAAATCTGAAATGCTAGGCTTATGATTAAAATAAATGTTTTAAAGCATTTGATTAAGTTGCAATCAATATTTAGATGGTTGAGGACACTTGTTTTGTTCATTTAATATGTATTTGATTTAGTGGTTGTATAAGTAGTATGTGAATGTTTAAAGCAATCGTTCTGAAACTTGAACATGCATCAAAATCACCAGGAGGGCTTATTAGAACACAGCCAGTTGTGTTTCTGATCCCAGTAGGTCTGGGTTGGGGCCCAAAAGAATCGGCATTTCTACCAAGCTCCGGGAACTGCTTATGCTGCTGGTTTGAGGATCACACTTTGAGAACCACTGAGGAATGTTTAATCTTTTACGTTTATAGAAATGCTAAATTCGTAAGATTAATATATTGGACTATAAACTAAGTACAAAGAATACAGAATATTCCTATAGGCAGAAAAAGCCTCTTGGACATTAATGCATCTACGGGCAAAAGAGAGTATGACAAAGCTTAATAGAAAATGTCACTTCAGTCCTTCAGCCACAGAAACTGCAGGTGAAATGAACTCAACGACATGGGGGGAAAGGAGCAACTCCCAAGTTGTTTTCACATTGGAATCACTTGGAGAAACAAAGATATTAAAGGCCTTTAAATAGACAAT